ATAGGGCTGGGGATATGGAAGAGTGTTTGAGAGAGAGAGAGAGAGAAAGAATTTTTTAATATTTATTTTTTAGTTTTCTTTGGACACAACATCTTTGTTTGTATGTGGTGCTGAGGATTGAACCCATGCCGCACGCATGCCAGGCGAGCGCGCTACCGCTTGAGCCACATCCCCAGCCCAGAGATCCTGGAATTTTGAGGACTCTTTAAGAGGTCTACATTTTGTTTGGGGAATAATGCAGCAGGTGTTACCTCAAATCACAGAGACTCAGCTTCAGGGAGCTGATTGGATAGGCCTGGGAAGGTCAGGGGATGCCCTACTTCTTGCAGGGTTTCCTCTTCTCTCCAGTTGGGCACAGAGAAGGAAAATGGAAAGATCCCATATGTACAAGTCTTTTTTACCTTGAGAACTTGTTCCTGAGGACCTCATGGACTCCCAAGATCTTTAAATATCTGGACTGACTCTAATAGGATCCAAAAGTGCATTCTGGCCTAATATAGATATTCCATGTTCTCCTTTACTAGAGTAATTATGGCTATCCATTTTCCCTCAGAATTTCTGTCTTTTTTGAGCTCATGGTTTTTGTGGAGAATTCACATTTGGTCCTGTGCACCTTAATTAATATATTTTGTTCTGATTAGTCTTGTTTTGTCTAACTGGAGTTTTTTACTAGCCTCTGTTTTTTCCTGCTGTCTTTATTCACAGGTCAATTATTCAAGGAGAAGATCTAAAATCTTTTGTTTCCTGTTGGTTTTTATGTAAATTTGTGCATACCTGTGAATTTCAGGTTGTACCTACATGTGTGTTTTTGTCTATATATTGCTTACATGGTACCAAAATTGGCATGTAAATAAATGAACACTCAACTTTTTTAAAAAAAAGAATGGATCCAAATGCCTTTTATGTCACATGACTTAAACCTCTGAGAAAAAGTTCAATTTCAGTGAGATAAGAGTAAGATGTCTTAAAGATCATTAACCCACATGATTTCTGGGTAATCAATCAACAGCATTGTTTTCTATAAAATGTTTGAAGTGTAATGTTCATTGCTGCTATGGTTTGGATGTGAGGTGTCCCCCAATAGCTCACATGTGCGACAATGCAAGAAAGTTTGGAGGAGAAATGATTGAGTTATAGCCTTAACTAGTCAGTGAGTTAATCCCTAATGGTAGGGTGTGCCTGGAGGAGGTGGGAATGGAATGTGGCTTTGATATATATTTGTATCTGGAGAATGGAGTCTCTCTCTTTGCTTCCCAATGTGAGCTGCTTCCCTCTGCCACACTCTCTCACCATGATGTTCTGCCTCACCTTGAGCCCTGAGGAATGGAGCCAGCCTTCTATGGACCAAGACCTCTGAAACTGTGAGCCCTCAAATAAACTCTTCCTCTTTTACAGTTGTTCTGGTCAGATCCTTTAGTTACAGCAGCGAAAAAGCTGACTAAAACAATTGCTTTTAGGAGTTTTCTTCAGCAGGGAAAAAATGGTTTACAATGGTAACTACACTTGTCTGATACCTTGGTTTCCATGGGTAACCTACAGTTAACAATTAAAAATGTGTAAATTAGATTTAATATGAATGGGATTAATCTTCATAAATGTATTTGTTAAAAGAGATGTCTGACTAATTTGCAAAGTTAAAATACTAAAACATCAACTACTAAATAAAAATTCAAGTACTCTTGGCTTCTTAAATTCCATAAAGTAATATACATTTGGTTCTATTAAATGTGTTTTTATAAATTGATAAGTAGAAAAACAGTTTAAGATGCCTTTGTTTCTGGGTCTCCACTAAAAGTAAGATTAGTAAGAGTTAAAATTCTAACAGGTATAATTCTATATGCAAAGAGTACAAAAAGCTTCAGATGTGTGTCAAAGTACTGTAAAAACTATAAAGTGATTATTAAAAGGAGTAATTGACAAAAATATTCAGAAATTTCATAAGAATTGTTTCAGAATGTAAACTTAAGAAACTGGAAAAAAGGGCTGGGGATGTGGCTCAAGCGGTAGCGCACTCGCCTGGCATGCGTGTGGCCCGGGTTCGATCCTCAGCACTACATACAAACAAAGATGTTGTGTCCACCAAAAACTAAAAAATAAGTATTAAAAAAAAGAAATTGGAAAAAAGAGATATAAGAAAGTTATTGTTGTGGAAATATACTTCAGTATGGAAAATATTTCTAGATAAGAAAGTATTTTGTATAATAAAGTAAACAAGTTGTAGTGTATCTCAGTTAGTTGTATAAGGGTTTTGTATGTTTGTTTTTTGTTTTTTGCTTTTGGTACCAGGGATTGAACCCAGGGGAGATTAACTACTGAGTCATGTCCCCAGCCCTTTTTTTGTATTTTATTTAGAGACAGGGTCTCACTGAGTTGATAAGTGCCTCACTAATCTGCTGGAGGTTGTCTTTGAACTCTCAATCCTCCTGCCTCAGCCTCCCAAGTTGCTGGGATTACAGGAATGTGCATCAGTAAGTTGCACAAGGTTTGTGGAGGGTAAATATCACAGAGTCAGCAACTGGAAAATAGAGTTAAAAGAAACCATGTGTGGATAAGTACAATGGGCCCATTTTATTCCCTTAACCTCACATTCTTCTGTTCCCACCATTCAAATCTGTCTGCCCCCTATCATTTTGAGCAGGGTCCAGTTGCTGCCAATCCTCCAGGATGAAGTCCACCAACATGCCTCTGAATATCAGGGATTCCTTTAATAGCACATTCCTCTTTAGCATAAAGGGATCAGTGTTGGGGAGGGGGGGAGGACCGGGACGGGACACCTCATGCACACTGAGGGCATACTCTGTGCCCAGTCTGAGACTTTAACTGTACTAAAGATTTTGATCCTCATGATCATCCTGGGAGAAACTTGACAGATGTGGAATGTACAGTGCACAGAACATAAGGTAACTATCCCAGGTCACAGCTGGGAACTAGAGATTAAATCCACATGGTTTAGCTTCAGCATCCCCCCACCTTTTAAAACATCATAGACTATATACTTATGTAACTAAAGTCATTTTAAACTTTATAGGGGAAATAAGGAGACAGACATAGCTTCCCATGGCAATGCATGAATTTAATACATATTTATTGAATATAGACCAAGCTGGTAAATCATGTAGATGTAAAGATTAGTATAAAAACGAAACACCTCCTGAACTCAAGGAGTTTTGCTATTGTAGAGAAAGTAAAACAATATTTACAGGTTCATGTAGGAGAGGGTGGGAAGGGGCCTGCCTTACCTGGGCAATGAGAGATATGGGACTGGGTCCAGGTGACCCAGAAAGGAGGAAGTTGATTCTGTTTGAGTATGACAATGAAGAATGTGCAGGGGATACCGAGCTAGAACAAATAGTTCTTAATCTAGCTAATCAATCATGACCAACTATTCTAACCTGAGCTCATCAATCATAAAACAAAGAACAGGAAGCTAGAAGATCTGTGGCCTGGGTGACTGACTCAAGCAAAAGGGGTACTCACATCTAGAAGTGCCCTAATTCCTATTAAAGATCAAGAACCCATCTGATTTTGCTCTGGATTCCATCCTGCCTTCAATTCAATGAGACATTTTGCATCCAAAAGGTCCCAGTTGGTCCCAGCTGGAAGCAGTTAACTATGATGTGCATAATGACAGAGGACAAGAAAGCTGGCTGAGCATGGTGGCTCACACCTGTAATCCCAGTAACTTTGGAGGCTGATGCAGAAGAGCACAAAATCAAGGCTAGCTTCAGCAACCTAAGGAGGCCTAAGCAACTTATGGATACCCTCTCTCAAAGTAAAAAGGACAGATTATATGGCTCAGTGGAAAGCTAGATGTCAGAGTGGTGGTTGATAGGCAGGTTTTCCCAGCAGAAGGGCTTCTCAGAGCAGCTGAGTTCAAACTGCCCCTCCCATGTGATAGCTTGGGTGCTCTGGGAACAAAACCACACTGAAGAGCATAAGGGGCTTTCAGGATAAAAACTCATAAACTACTCCATATACCAATATCTCATTTAATAGTACCATTGGCATGGCTTCCAGGGTCCCAGTAAATCCATTGTCACTCAACCCATTTACAAGAGTGTCAACGTTCAGGAAAACCCAAATCTATGGCTTCACAGAACTCCCAATCTAGATGCAATTTGTTCACCAATCAGGAGTCATTTTTCATCATAAGTATTGTTGCCTGGTATGATATTGTAAAATATAAATTTGATCTTTGTCCCTGCTTCTTGGCAAAAAGCTCCTAAAATCTTTGGAGTCTCCTGGGGAGTGGTAACAGTGGTTGTTTCATATGTTAATGAGATGACTGCTGGCTGGCAGCCCCTAGGTACCTCCAGGATAGAGGCTGGTCATGGTAGAGACTGACACAGAAGTGGAGGGTTAGAACTTTCAATCCCATCCCCCAACCACTGAGGAAAGAGAGGAATTGGAAGTTATGTTATCACCAATGACCAAGAGTGTAATCAATCATGCCTACATAATAAAGCTTCCATAAAGATCTGAAGGGTAGGATTCAGAGAGCTTCTGGATAGCAGAACACATGGAGGTCTGCCGAAGTCCGGCTGCAGCAAAGTAACTGAGGGGTGACGAGGAACTTGTGTAGATTGATACAGCAGGAGTAGGAGCTGTTTATTGTAGGACAAGAGTGGTATTTATACATTACACACAGCTTATCTTAATTAACATAAACTAGATACAGCAGTCAACCAATAAGGAATCTCCACACTTAATGGCTCGCTGGCGTTACTTCACAAACCACTCCCTCTGCAAAATGCCAGGCATGCCATCCTGACTTGTTTACAGACCCTAACAGAGGTCCATGGAGGGTGGTGCACCCAAGAGGGCATAGAAGCTCCAGGTGCTTTTCCCTGTACTTTGTCCTATGCATCCCTTCCATTTGGGTTCATCTAAATCCTTGTACTACTGATCATAATTAATGGGTAAATGTATGTACAGTGTTTCCCTGAGTCCTGTGAGTGACTCTAACAAATTTATTAAGCCTGAGGAAAGAGTTTTAGGAATCCTAATTTATAGCTGATCAGTGACAAATATATCTGATGATCTACTAATGGCAACTGATATCTGAAGTAAGGGGCAGTCTTATGGAACTGAATCCTCAACCTGTGGGATCTTATGCTATCTCCAGATAGACAGTGTCAGAATTGAATTCAAGAAATTGCTTGTGTGGAGGAATAACCTCCAAACATTTAATGCAGAAGTGTTTTGTTGAATAAGAGTAGAAAGTAGGAAAAACACCTTTTCTCCCTATCTCTTGTGCCTGGTAATGTAGCTATCATCCTACCATTATCAGGTTTCCAATAACATTGAAGTGGCACTTTCTTTCTCCACAGAAAAACCCTCTTCACCATGGCTGATTTTAGGACTGTCAGCAAAAGAGTCTCTGAGAAACAGTCCAAAGTAGATAAACTTCCTATTTTCGTGTCACCCTGTTTACTTGGCCACTGGCCAAGAAGATACCAGCACTCCAGGTGCTGGACACCCCCTTACTAGTTTTTCACAAGCGTATCCAGTATAGTACTATGAAGAAATGTGCAAACACGGCCTCTGGCCTTGAGCTGGGTCACAGAGTTGTCTACATTTTTAAGATAAATTACAATTGGGCTCCATGGTCACAGCTGGCAGGTGGGGGAAAGAAAGGGGAGAAGAAGCTCTCCCCTTCTCAGGTGTTGTCCTTGAAGCATTAACTTACTCAGAACAGTGGAAGAAAAAACTGCTTTTTGTGAACTTCTGCAGACTGTGAACTTCGGAGCCCCTCCCCTTACATGTTGGGTATAAAACTCTGAAACTCCCTGAACTCAGGGTTCAGGGGATTAACTAATTACAGCAAAAGCTGTGCCCTCTAAACCTGGCTGCAGCCTAATAAAACTGTTTCCTGCTATCTTCGGTGCCTTGGCTCGTTTGTCCCTACAACGACATAAAACTAAAAATGATGTTTATGATGAAAGTTAAAAACCACTAACATATCTTACACATACAATGTCAGAATTTAGTTCATAACTAAAAGTTCCTGGGGCCTGGCCTAGGGTTGTGGCTCAGCAGTAGAGCACTTGCCTAGTGCATACAGGGCACTGGGTTTGATTCTCAGCACCACATAAAAAATAATTAAAATAAAGATATTGTGTCCAACTACAACTG